GCTGATGTAAACAAAAGCTGCAAGGGGTAACGAACTTATGGCAGAACGTCGCGGAAAAAAATATATATATTAAATATATATTATAATATATATATCAAATAATTATATATATATATACATATATATTAAATAATTATATTATGATATATATATTAAATAGTTATATTATAATATATATATATACATATATTAATAATTATAATATAAAATATATATTAAATATATATTAAATATATATTATAATATATATAAAATATATATTATATTAAATATATATTATAATATATATAAAATATATATTATATTAAATATATATTATATAAAAATATATTACGATACATTAGCATAGTTTGATATATATGAAAATAATATGAGCTTATTACTGTGCGTTACTGTTATGGACTTTGTATAGTAGATGAACAATTATATGCACAGACATGAAACTTTTAATGGAGATCATAATGATAGTAATAATGAAGGATAATGATAGTGGTTAAGATAATGATAATGAAAATAATTGTAATAATGATAATCATAGTAATTATAATGATAATATCAGTAATGATGATGTTGATAATAATTATAATAACAACAATAACAACAACAATAATAATAACAATAATAATAATGGTAAAAGTAATGACAATGATAATACTAAAAATTATCATAACATTAATGATCATATTAATACTGATGATAATAAGAATGAGAGTAATAGTAATATAATAAATGTGATAATACTAATGATAATAATGATAATTCTAATAACAAGGGATAACAATAATAATTGTAATAGTAATTGTAATAATAATGATAATAATAACAATGACAACAGGAATAACAACAATAATAATGATAATAATAACAATGATGATAGTAATGGTAATAATTGAATTATAACAAAATAAATATCAATAATGATAAAATAGTAAAAGTGACAATAACAATAATGATAATAATCATACATTAATAATACAATTAAAATAATAATGTGATGAAAATAGTAACATTACTAAATACTACTATTACTACTACTACTACTACTAACAATAACAAAGACGATCTTGTCAACAATGATAATATTGACAATCGAGATGATGATATTAACAAAGATGATGTTTAGATGATCTTGGAACTAATGATAGCAACAAAAACAACAATGATGATGATGGTGATAATAAGAGTAATTTATAATGATAATGATATTAAGAATGATAATAATAATAGTAATTAATAATAAAAAGGATAATGGTGATAATAATAATAATGACAATAATAATAGTGCTAACAATGAGAGTAATAATAGTAATAACATTAATGATAATGACAATAATAATAATAATAATAATTGTCACTGCGGCCTTGCCCTTTTTGTTAGAGTATGTTTACCGAATGGATACTTCAAAGGATTCTGGAGAAAAACAATTCTTGTTGCTTCTTCCTTTTATTATCCATAACTGATGAAATACAATTTCTACATGGTCATCTATATCTTCCATGCCAGTACAATAGTAGCAATAGCCTTCTGTGTATTCAACTTTGAAACCTAATCTTTCAAAATATTTTCATTCAACACTTCTTACTTCATTGGGCCACTACACTTACATGGCTCCTCTAAATTGTTTAACATTTACAATTAACATTATACTACCTTAAAACTATATTCTTTACAAAACTATTTCTTGAAAGTAAATACAAAAATAAAACATTATCTTTTGAGGTATCACAAATTAAATAAAAGCCCTTGGTGGGGACTTCCTTGGTCATAAAATCTTTTCCTAGATATAGATCATTACTTTGAAAGTTACATGGTGATGGCAATATAACCTTTAATTTCATAGTCAAAAGATGGTGGTTTGGTGTTGGAGGATCTAAGTGAATTTAATTTAATACTGTCCAGTGTCAATGGGTGACTATTGACAATGGACTCTGCTTCAACCATAAATATTTGTAATGAATCATCTAGCTGAGTTCTATGTTGACAAAGTATCACAGACAAAATATTTTGTACAGTATGAATATGTCTCTCCCATACACCTCCCATATGACTACTATAAGGTACATTCATTTTAAAATTAATCCAATCACAATTGTTCTTTAACATTACATTTTTGTTTGATCCATTTCCTTTACGCAAATCTCAAGTTCTACCTAGAAAATGATAAGTATTGAGAAAAGAATCAGTATCTATAGATTCAACAACTTCTAAGTGAACAGCTTTTGAAATTAAGCCCGTGAACAATGCTCCATACCTCTTGAGTTTACTGTGTCTTACCTTCACATAAAATGGACCAAAATAATCTAAAGTACAATCAGTGATTGGAACAGAGGGTTCAAGTGTGTCCTTTGGCAAAAGTATTACCTCTTGCTTTTTTACACACACTACAGCTAATGTGCTTAGCTACCATAGATGATCCTCCTACAATCCAGTAACCTGCTGATTTTATTCATTTAAAGTTATGCCACGGTCTTGATGGTAAACTCTTTGGCGATAGAGACAAATCAACAATTCTGATATATGGCATTTAAAGGATGTCTACTTGCCTCATTCAAGTTTGCTTGACTAAGTCTTCCTCATTCTGTATCTAAAAATATATTTAATTCATACAAACAGCTAGTTTTATTTAGGACATTCTCTTTTGTTTGAAGAACCCTTTTTTCATCAGCATAATGTTTACTCTGAAGTTCCTTTATTATTACCTTCTCTGCCTTTTCAAGCTCTGAAACTTTCACAGAACTATATGTTACATTTCTCTTCTTATCAATTTTCTCCTCAGATGATTCTGTGGTTTCCCTATATTTACTTTGCAGTAGCTCTTTTAGCTCTAAACCAGTCTGAGAAATAGTCTAATCTATATGAAATGGTACTTCTTTCTTTAAAGTTACTACAAATGACACTTTCTTGAATGGATCACAATTGCAGCACAATCTGATGGATTTGACTCCGACTGCACATAATTCCACTGAATAAAATCAGACCTATCTCTTATATATTGAACTCTATTTGCAACAAAAATATGCAATAATATCCTTTGGCTTAATTGCCTTAATACAGTTAAGACCAATCAGGAGCCCTACTTCTGCATCATCATTGTAAGGCATCAGTACCTCAACTATTCTTTGGAAATGTGGCCACTCTATGGCAGTTTCAGATCTTGGTATTTGATATTACCTACAAGGAATTACGTTTCTAGAATAAGCATGAGGCAATGGTATGTATTTTCATACATACCCTTTACAATTAGACCACAAGTTTTAGAGCATGTAATAGTTTGTTCACCATTCACAATAGCTGTTCTTAGATGAACCTCTGTTCCACCAATATCTAACTTACCTAGATTACTGTTTTTGATAAAACATACATCAAAGTGATCATCAAGTAATGCATACACCAAACCTTTCTTCTGCTCGTCACTTTTATGGTGCAAACACACAGGAACTATCATTGAGTTAACATCCATGGCAATACACTTGTTAACTTTAATTGTATTAGAAACAACAGCCTCTTTTTCTTGTTCCTTAACATGAACTTTATTTTCAGTAGGTTTTAATCTATCACAATTTTGCACTTCTCCTTTCACTGCAATATCTTGTCATGTGCCCTCTCTACATAATTTGTTTTTATCAACCAAATTCTTTTTGTCTTTCAAATTGAGACTTGGAAATCTATTACAATTATTAAGATTAGGTAGCTGATGGCAAAATGGGAAAGCAAATCTACTACTGTCACTCATATTATTAATTTGACTGGTTTCTGTGACAAAGCTCGTCACTGACCTTGACATGATTTTTTTTAAACATTTACAGGTACATTACCTCTAACACTTTTATCTTGAACTGCAGTGGAATACTGAAGTATGTCACCTTTGAAGACTATTGGTTCAGGCCTTGGAAGTGAGTCACTAATTTGCCTAGCACAAAGAATTTCAGTTATTTGTTGAATGCATCCTTTTCTCCTGTTTTCCCTGAACAAGAAAGTTTATCTGTTTGATTAACTAACACCTCATCCTTTGTAAGAAATGAATTAGCTTTAGGATTCAGATTACTCACATATTCATCAAGGTTTAGTCTCTCTCTCAAATCTTCCTTCAGTGACTCTCTTACTAATTTGTAATGCATCACATCATTTAATTTAATTAATTTAATTTAACTGTATACTCAGATACAAAATGCTTATGGTGTGGCAATATTTTCAAATGGGACTCCACGTAACTTTTTGTATAATCTTGCTTACTCCCAAAATTTACTTCATCTGGGGTAAAAAGCTTAATGTCAACCCCTGATTCTTCTAGTTTTGCATTTCAGTTTAATTTTTGATCTTCATTATTTTTAAGTCTTGCTCTGCTAACTTCTCAATTAGTTATTCCTTACTTTTTGATGAAGAAACTCTCGAATGCCTACAATGTCCACTACTCCTACTACTACCTGCGACTTGTAAAAACTGTTTTGATCTTTCTCTGATGTCAAATACAAGCCTTTGTGTGTCTCCCTCACATTTAATATATTAATCTGAAAATTTATTAGAAGGCTCTAGAGCTTCATATCTATAATATGCATACTATACAGTTTCAAACTTGGCTACTAGTGAAGACCTGGCTTCCTTAATTTGATTAAATTTTAGATCATCTAATCTACTATATCAATTATATCAATGTAAACTCTCTTCCAAGCAGATTTTGCACACACACCAAAGAAAATTGCCTTAAAGACTAATAGTGATTAAACAAAACAGCAATTATAAATATACCAGTATTGCAACAGACACCAGTTAACCCTCATAAACAATTACCATCTGCAGTTACCTTATTTTAAACCACAGACCAATAGTGGGAATGTAAATAACTTGCTGTCTTGGAATAGCTGTTTTTAGATGAACTAATTAAGATCATACACTTGGCTGCTGGGAAGAATCAACTTGCAGCAAATAACAATGTACTTGATAGAAACTGTAGGCTTGTTATGCAATTAATGTGTAGTACTGTAGTAATGACATCTCTGTT